AAAAGTATGTGATCATTAAAAAAATAATAATAGCCCTAACCAGTGTGGCTCAGTGGATGGAGCGTCAGCCTGTGGACTAAAAGGTCCCAGGTTCGATTCCGGTCAAGGGCACATGCCCGGGGTTTGATCCCCAGTGGGGGATGTGCAGGAGGCAGCCAGTCCATGATTCTCTCTCATCATGGATGTTTCCCTCTCTCTCTCCCTCCCTCCCTGAAATCAATAAAAATATATTAAAAAAAAAAACTCCAGTGTGCTCTGGGAGCCCTGGTGGGCCCTGACAGGGCGGCTTCTTGCCGGAGACACCGCAGGAGGGCGAACAGCAAGGAACTGGCAATGTGGCCTTGGTGGCGACAGGGACTCTAGGCAGAGGGTCAGAGTGGGCAGAACACGCAGGCCTGAGGCCACAGGACACCTCTGGAGAACCCGCAGAAGTTCAGAAGGGCGGAACCGCGGGCGGAACCAAGACAGGGACACAGTGGGGGGGACGGCCTTGGTCGTGAAGAGCCAGCTTGCCCGCGTGCTGAGCAGAGGGCCGATGGTGGGAGCAGGGACAAGGCTGGCGGCAGAAGACAAGGGCTGTGGTTCAGAGACAAAGTAGGGACTCAGGGCGGGCAGAGGGCTGGCAGGTGGAGAAGTTTCCGTGGGTGGAAGGGCTGTGGGCACAGGTGAGCTAGCCTCAGGGTGACGGGGCACAACGGCCAGGAGCAGCAACTGCCTGTTAAGAAGCTGGGCAGGGGGGGCAGGTGAGAGGGATGCCCACAGCGGACCAAAGGGCGAAGGTCTCAGTGCAGACTATTGAGCAGTGTGATGGGACATAGCACTGCCTTAGCCACAGACGTGGAGAGTGTTCTAGAATCGCACAGACGACTCACTCCCTGCCCTGAGATACAACTTTCTCTCTGCCAAGGAGCCCATGGGGGCTGTGCAGCACCCAGGCCCTTCCCGGCTGCAAATGCCATGAGTTGCTGACTCCATCAGAAACCAGTTCCCGTCTCCATCCTGTCCACCTGGTAGCTCACCCCCAGACCGCCTTCTCGGGAAGGGGAGGCAGATCGTGTCCATCCCTGGCTTCTCTGTGAAGCCAGAACCTTCTCCCAACACTCCGCACCCAAGCCAATGAGGACCCACCCCGGCCAGGCCTGCGGGCTGCTCTCCCTCCCAAACTCCCGCTCGGGGCCCTCACATCTGGCCGCACGCTGCTCACTTTCCTCTCCCCCTCCTGGATAATAAGGAGCAGACTGGCAAAATAGTTCAAATGCCTGCTTGAAAAGTCCACCGCCTTCTGGGCTCAGCGGCCTATTTTCAGCTAAACGTTTCAAACCTCCAGGCTCAGAGTTGCTCTAGGCATCAATGTTCACTCCACCTGACCAACCAGAGAATCAGGCTGATGGAGCGTCGCTGGATGCCAGGCCAGGAGGGCTATGGAGACACTGGGCTGTCTCTAAGTACGGGACTGGACACTACACCCAGCCACCCAGCACAGCAGGAGAAGGGCTGTATGAAGGCCGCACGAAGGCTAGGGCTGGGGGAGGCCAGAAAAGGAAGCCAGGGCCTCACGTGGATACCCAGGAACACTGGGAAGGGGCACGGGGCCAGGCCTTGGAGGCTGCGGGCAGTCTCTGCAGGTGTGAAGCGGAATGGCCGGCCCCGGAGTGGAAACGCACAAGCCAGGACCGAGGAGTGTGGGGAAAGGAGCAAGTGACAGAGAGAAGGCTCGGGAGGCTGATGGCCGCAAGGTGCGCTGGCTTCAGTTTGTTAAGGGCCCCAGATGCAATGCCCAGGTAATGGCCGCAGGGAGGTTTGTCAGCAGAGGCATGGGCAGAGGGAAGGCCGGGGTCCAGAGGGGGGCAATTCAATTCCCACATGAGGGGACCAGCACAGTGAGGAACATGGCCAAAGCCAGGGCACAGGATGGTGGGGTGGCCGGGGTGCCACAGTTCCCCCCTCTCCGTTATCTCAGGTCCACTGCCATTTCATCCTACAGACTCACCAGGAAACACATCATAACTGCAAACCTATAGATAACTCTCCCTCCCGGTCTGGTTTCTGTTCCTGCCGCTGAAAATGCTCCCACCGGGAGAGCAAGCCCCTGGCCCCAAACCTCCAACAGCTGATCAAACACCCCAGCACACTGTGTACACTCGGAAGGGGAGGGAATGGCTGTAATGATACACACACATACACACCCACATGACCCGGCAGCCCGCCCCAGTAACCGGACACATTCAGTTCCTTTCCTTCAAAGACAGGGTTTCCCAGGCACTGGGGGGAAATATGCCCCTTGCCTCCACTGTCGCCTTCTCCATCGCCCTACTCCAGGCACCTGGACGTCCTTCCCAACTTCCCCGATACGTTCTCCTTGAACTTGAGCAACCTACAAAAGCCTCTCCAGGATCCCTTATACCCATGGAGCTTAAACCAACTCAGCCAGGTAGGAGCATAGCAGAGTTGTCCCTGTCCCCCACTAACAGGGAGTACTGAGGCCACCAGGAGTCACCAAGCACCCTTGGGGCGCAAAGCACACCCCCAACAGGCCTCCTGCAGACACCCCCATATGCCCGATACTGCTTCCTTTAGTAACACGAGGAAAAAAAAGAAAAAAGGCAGGTTGGGGCTAGGGAGCCTCAGAGGAAGGAAGGGACGGAGACTGGAGTCAGGCGGCCCTGGATACAAATTCTACCTCCACCCCCGAGTTTACTTGGCTAAGCCACCGTGCCTGGCGGGAAAATTCACTCTCATCTGTGAAACGGGTATAAACATAAATCCCGTGTAAGGTTATCAAAAATCGGAGCGCTGTTATTGGTGCTAAGCATTCACAGAGAGTTCAAGGGGATTCAATATTTATTTTATATGTATATAGTTAAAAGTGGAGAAATTTCCTAAAATGTTACCAGGCAAACCTGCGAGGCATAGGGAGCGGGGTGGGAGGAGCACACCGGGCGCCTAGGCAGGGCCGAGAGGCATTCAGAGCATCTGTGCGCGCAGGTGGCGTGGACGCGGCCACGGTAACGGTCACGGCCGGTAGGCGGTGCAGGTGGACCCGCGGGGCAAGGAGAGAGGCGCCGGGACCCACCTGAAGACGCGCAGCAGCAGGCAGGCGATGAGGAAGG